CTTGTGTAAAAGACAGTAAATCATTCTTTAATGTATTTAATTCACTTTGAAATTTACTAATCTTTTCCATTTGTGTGTGCTGGCTTTCTCTTAATTGTTGAGGTCTTTCTTCCTGTTTCTTTTCTTGTTCCAGTTGCCACTGGTGCTGGTTTTCCTGCCACTGCTGTAGTCTCTCTTCTTGTTTATTTTCTTTCTCTTCCAACCACTGCTGTAGTATCTCTTCTTGTTTATTTTCTTTCTCCTCCAAACACTGCTGTAGCCTCTTTTCTTGTTTATTTTCTTTCTCCTCCAACCACTGCTGTAGCCTCTCTGCTTGTTTTTTCTTTCTCCTCCAACCACTGCTGTAGTCTCTCTTCTTGTTTCTTTTCTTTTTCCTCCAACAACTGCTGTAATCTCTCTTCTTGTTTCTTTTCTGATTCTTGTTTCTTTTACTGTTCTTGTATTGCTGCCATCAAATCCGCTAAGCTGTAGTTTGATTTGCCACCTCTCGTTTCCATCTTCTTTTTTTTTTTCCATCCCACTCTCTGACACCAATTTGTTGCATATCTGCTTGTTTGTTAATTTCCCGTAGAAATTCTTTTCCGAGAAACTTCAGCGATACAAGTCCTTTCTTAATTAAAACTAGTTTATTCTTTTTCGATACAACTTTGCAATACACAGAATTTCCACAGTCAATACGTTTGCAATCTCAATAACAAAACACACACTTGACTCAATTATCTGTCTCTATATCTATCTGCAATTTACTTGCCGGGCTTATATACTAAAATAGAGGGCACCTGGAAAAGACTAAGTTGCCAGGAAAAGTTACGATTCTTCGAGAATCTCATGACGTGATACCAGCATCACGTGACTTCCACTGTCGTAACAATATATATTTTATTGAGATTTTAAAAACATTCAGAGTAAACCAAAATTAATTTGGTAAGTTGAGCATAAGTTACTGTGTAAAAACTTATGTGCATGACTAAAAGAAGAAAATAGTATATCCTAACAGTTTGATGTTTCAGAATTTAATTGATTCCGTATAGTGTAATTCATTCATTATGTTATGTTATGTTACTTTTAATGTACTTTACATGTACTTTTAATGAACATTTCATTCGCTGTTATCAATTTCATTGTGTTTTTAATTTCAGAATCGGTTATAAAAATTCAGTTTACAGTAGTTAGTGATCTTTATTTATGGTAATGTAAAATTTAGTATGGTGAAAATCTGTTCTTTTTACTTCAGCTTTCAGTTCAGGGATCAATAAACAGCTGCTTGCATATGCTTGTAGTATGTTTTTGTTTTGATTATATTTTATATCCAAATAAATTGCTTTACATTTTTGGCTGCTGGGAGAGAGGAACCAGCTGATCAACTTGTTTATATAGAGTAAGACTAGGATTTGCTTGCTAGATGCTAAAGTGTAGAATATTTCGACAGTTTACTTGGTGGTACCAAGGATAATGCTTTTTTTTTGTAGTACAACTAAGGCTAAATGTTTTGGAAGTGCTCCTTTGAGCTAGGTGTGGGATAATGAATTACTCTGTAAGATTCTAATAAAGTTTAGTGTTTTGCTACATATTAAGAGGAAAATAATGAAATTTTAGTATTAATTTTTAAATTCTAAATTTTGAGGTCGTGACACAAGATTTATCATTAGTGAATGAGTAAGCCTGTGACCGATCTCTGTATTGGCCTTCGATATCGATCCGATCTAAAGAATTCCCCAATGTTTTTCCAATCTGATTTTTAAGAAGATCAGATCAGTAAGTTTGTTCTACAATACATGTTTTATCCTAGAATGTTTCTTGATTCGTTTAAAGGTTTACAAGAAAATAAATGTAAGAGGAAAAGTTCTTGAACTTCATCTAATCTTTGCTTGTTTTGTATTCCATTGAAAATGTGTCATTTTTAAAGTCTGTTAAGTGCATGATTTATTTGAAGAAGAGTTTTGAATCTTGATGCATGCCACTGGTGGTTATACATTAGAGATGTCTGGACATGTGGAACACACAAATGCAGATTGTCAAAATCAGATTCCAATATCAGACGATCTTGTGTGCATCAGTACTGATCCGATATTTCACTCAGGTCACAGGCTTATGAATAAGGATAATAAGTTAAAAGGTGATCTATGAGAATTTTGGGAAATGTTTGAGAATATATTGCTTTTAATTGGAGATACAGTAGGCATGTCCCTATAAGTAGAAAAGGATGCCACTGAAGAACAAACATAATTACCTTTGTAAAGAAATAAAGGAGAAAATCAGGGATAATTGTAAAAAGTAAGTGGAAGATTACCAAAACTACAGGAAAGCTGTCAAAAAATATATTTATATATTTGGAGATTCAAAAGGGTTAATAAGGAACAGCTGGCTGATAATATTAAAACTAACAATAAAGATGTTTTGAAGTTTATTAAAGGTAAACAGAATGTTAAAATGAGGATTGGGGTTCTAAAGAATACTAGTAGCAGGTGTTTTATTGAACACTATGAAATGGTTGAGATTTAAAATGTTTTCAGTTTTTACAAGAGAAGATTTTAACAATGTTCCTAACTGTGAGCATTCTATGTAAACTATTAGAACTGACTGATTCATGTAGATGCTATTCCTTGTTGATAAGTGGAAAGATTGGGAGATGAAAATAGATAAAGCATATAGACCAGACAAGAGTTTGAGATCAGATATGCTTGTCTCTCTTGTTTCCAGTGAATCAATAGATAGTGTGCAAGTGCTTCAGAAGTGGAGAGTTCCTGAAGTTACTCCTGTTTTTTTTTGTTGTTTTTTTTGGAGGGGGGGGGTTGTTGGAGTTGCCCTGGAAGTTATAGGTCACTTAGTTTTACAAAATAATTTAGTAAAATCTTAAATAAAGCTAATGTGGATATACCATGGAAAAATATTGTCTTACTTATCTGTTGTTGTTGTTGTTTTTTTTGAGGATGTTACTTGTTATCTGAACTATGGAAAGGAACTGGTACAGTAGATTTTGAAAAAAACTTTTAATAAAGTCCCATACAAAATATTACCTATGAAAATCACATTGGTAGGGGGTTGGGAAAGAGTAGTTAATTAGATTGTAGGTGGTTGGATGTGAGAAAGCAAAGGTTGGTATTTATGAGGTCCTGTCAGACTGGACCCTACTTACTAGTGGATTGGCTCAGGGATCAATGCTTGGGCCTTTTCATTTTCATGAACATTATTGATATTAATAGGGGTGTAATTAGTAAATTAGTAGTTTGCTGATGACATTAAACTCTTGGGTATGTTTAGCTTTATTGAGGATGTTGAGGTATTATAGATTGACTTGGATCAGTTGATAAGTTGGACAGATGTTTAGCAAGTGGCCTTTATTTGTAGTAAATTCAAGAAAAGTATTGAGGTCATCATAATTTGAATTACACATTTAAAATAGATGGGAACCAATTTAATAGTGTGACTGAAGAAAAGGATCTTGACATAGTGGTATTTAAGTCATTCAAGCCATTGAAGCAGTACTCTATTGTTATTAGTAAAGCTCAAGTAGTTTTAGATGAATTTATAGACATTGATTACAAGTGTCTTTATACAAGTTGCTAGTTAGGCCTCACTTGGAATAACATGTATGATTTTGATCTCCTTATCTAAGAAAGGATACTGACATGGTGGTTAAGTCACTCAAGTCATTGAAGCAATGCTCTGTTATTAGTAGTAAAGTTCAAGAAGTTTTAGATTTATTACAAATCTCTTTATACAAGTTCCTAGTTAGGCCTCACTTGGAATAACATGTATGATTTTGATCTCCTTATCTAAGAAAGGATACTGACATGGTGATTAAATCACTCAAGCCATTGCAACATATATATGGTATTTATATCAGGAAGACTTCATACTTACATTTAAATGTAACACAGTATATTTCTCAAATCCTCTGAAAAGCTTCTTTTGGGCAGCTGAAAATATATCCTATACTAATACATGTTACTAACTTGGGAAGCTTCACCAAAGAAGCAAAATGATTTCTTTTTTGCCAAACATTAAAAATGTCAATTTCACTAATTAATATGTTATTATATAACTAAATTAGTTGTCAACAATGTAATACCAACCAACATTCTAACAAAATATATATAATTTTGTAAATTTCTGTTATGTTTCCCCAATTGAAAAAAAAAGTTCGTAATCATTTCATAGCTTATTCATTCCTTCAAGGTTTGTATCATTTTATTTATCCACACTTTTTAATTTCAGAGTTTGCAAGTTATGGTACCAGCTTACCCGATCTAAGACACTCTGGAGATTTGTAGATGCTACAGATATCAAATTAACGACCCAGCAGTTAGCAAAGCTTGTTTCCAGGCTGACAACAGCAGTTCATCATCTTTACATATGTGGTCTGGTTTTAAATGAGGTACCATTTCTTACTCCTGGTCTCATAGCTGAGATTTCTAGAAACTCTCCGGACCTTCAAACTCTTGTTATAGAAGGTGCTTTTGTTGCTAAACAAATCAATTGGACAGATATAACAATTCAAGATCTGCCTCCAAAACTGGCAACGCTTTCTTTACGTCGATCATTCTTTCATGCGGATCAGCTCTTCTGTTGTACCGATTCGCCTTCTGGTCCTCAACTGAAATGCTTGGATGTCAGTCACTGCTGGTGTATTTCTGACCATGACATGCCATTCTTCACAAAACTTTCAAATTTACAAGAACTTTATCTTGAAAGCTGTGACTATATCAGTGATGATGGAGTATTTATGTTTGTAAGTAGGTCAGAAACATTAACAGTTATTGATGTTGAAGGTACAAACATTTCAGATGACACGCTACACATTATTTCAGAAAGGTGCCCTAAGCTGCAGAAGCTGTTTCTAGGAAAAACATGGGTTACAGATAGAGGCATCATGTCTCTGTCAGAGAAAGTATTTCCATCTTTGGAAATGTTATGTCTAAGTAAAACAATGGTGACCATCACTGGAATAAAATATCTTTGTGAATCTCAGAAGACATTAAAATGGTTGAAAATTAGTGAAAGCAAACTATTGTTACAAGATGTGCAAGATATTATGAGTGTATTACCTTTGTGTAAAGTATATAGGAAACAAGTTACTCGTCTCTCCCCTCCAGAGAGTGATATATGTGAACATTTTTTGGAAAAAATGTTTCAATTAATGCAAACAAGTACTATCACTTGAAATCTCAAATTGTAGATAAGATGAGCATTTCTAGGCTGATGTGCTAAAAGCCTTGATATTTCATCATTTAATTTACTATTGGAAGAATGTTTATATGTGTAATACTTTTTATTTGTTTATGTAGACAAGGTTTTGAGGTTGTATTGTCACATGTATTAACAGTAATTTGTAAATGTGATGACTTAGAAATGCAAAAAAGTACTAAATCACATTCTCAACAAGAGATGGAAAGGATAAAAAAGTGTTAAATTATAATAACTCCAATATTTTGCTGTTTTCAGCCATCTGAGAATTAAAAATAACACTTAAGTCAGACGTATCGATGTAGCGTGTATCAGTATGATGGATTAGTAGCTGACCACTGTAAGTGTTAAGCAAATCAATTTATATGTAAATGATCAAACTGTATTATGCAGTAGTTATAGAAGTTTGAGTAATTTCTGTTGATGACCTATTCAAACTGATTGATAGGTTAATCATCAAGCTCGTTATTCGATTATTCTCATATGAGCCCTGGATAATTGATATACTTGGAAATACTAATTTTGATTAGTTGATTATTTTTGTGAGTCATGACACTAAGTGATTAAGCTGAACAACCTTGTATTAATCAGAAACATTAATTTTGATTAGTTGATTATTTTTGTGAGTCATGACACTAAGTGATTAAGCTGAACAACCTTGTATTAATCAGAAACATTAATTTTGATTAGTTGATTATATTTGTGAGTCATGACACTAAGTGATTAAGCTGAACAACCTTGTATTAATCAGAAACATTAATTTTAGTTGATTATTTTCAAGACATTAAGTAATTTATTTGTATTAATCATTATTTTACCTGACACTAATCACTATAATCGATGCTTATAGGTAATTAATTATATTGATTAATTAAGTTAAATGCCCAGCTCTAGAAACATATCAGTATTTTTTACTGTTGTTAAAAATCACATTTGATTTCCTATAGAGAAAACTGATGGAAATGGTACTCTATGATGGAGTTGTGGACAGTGATTATTTATCAGGGTTTTACAGTTTCAAGTGCATGTACCATAGTCTGTGGTGCAAAACCATCTTTCAGTTTTCCTCTCAGAGTTGGGTGATTTAATAGAATTTGATAATTGATTACATTCAACTAATCTGTTGTTCTCTTGTGAGACTTGGATAGTTGGAATAATCAGATACACTAATTTTGATAAGTTGATTATTTTGGCATCATTAACTCTCTGTATACTGGTTCAGTCATTTTGTCCAACCATGTAATCATAAAAATTTACATACTATAACTCTGAATATAGTAATTTTAGTTTCACAAAATTGCAAAAATTAAGTTCGTCGTATACAAAAAATTAGATTTTTTTAATAAATTATTTTTACATGTGAATTTACAAAGCCTTTAATGAGTCGTTCTAAGTGAAAGATGATTTACATGCTAAGAATATAATACTTCTTTTTTTATCATACAGTTTTCATATTTCATTTGCATAACCTCTAGAGCTTCCTAAATGAATATCAACATTTTTTGTAAAAGGTTATACTTTATTTATAATCTAATACTAATTGTAGTAGATTTATCATTGTACAGTGAAATGAAAAATATGAATTTAAATCAAAACATTTTTCTTCTATATTGACTGCAGATTATACCAGACAATTATTTAACAGGCCAGCTTACACTTTTTAATCTTTTGACATCTGTTTTCTTTCAGTTTTATTGCTTTATTAGTGCACTTTTGAACTGTCTTTAGTACTGTAACAACCAACATATCATTTGGAAGGAGAGCACAGGGTAAACAAAGTAACTGGTTTTATTGCATGATGTCAAACCACTTTATGTTAAGAGCATTCATCAATGAGTGATTGCGAGAAATTTTATTTAATTTTTTCTCAATGAAGTTTTTTTAGTTAACCTGATGAGTTTTATTTTTTTTTTACAGTTTTGTTACTTTTGTTAAAATATATATATAACAATAAATGAAAAATATACATAAAAACAAGAAATCTACCAAATACCCTAGCTATAGGCCTATTTCTACTTGAGAACATACTTTGATAAGACTGTGTTTTTTTCACACAATGTTGGTTGTTTACATAATGATTCATGTTGCTTTCAAATATGCATTTTAAAACACAAAAATTTTAGGCATCAAAATAGAATGTTCCAAAACTACTATGATTTAACTGGTTTTCTAGCTAAGCTATAAATAGTTAAAAATAAATTTTTAGCGATTTGAAGCATTGACTTTGTTCAACATTTGTTTGGAAACTTCCATCTCTTCTGCACAAAAAATAAAATGGGGAATTTAAGTGTGCAGACAGTACTCGGGGAAATGAAGATTGAGAACTTATTTGAAGTTAAAATTAAGATAACATAAGAAGTTAAACTATAACCCATGTTTTGACACACAACTTGTTTGCATACATTGATAATAATTAAATTTTGAATGCAACTCCATAAAAAGGTTGTGACACGTACACGTAGACCTTTCTGTATACACAGGATTAATTGATTTAATCATCATTTTGATTAACTGGGTATTTTTAGTGACACTAATTGCTGTAATCAGTATTCATAGGTAGTCAGTTAATTGCCCAGCTGTATTTCCTCTACCCTTTTAGACTTACTTAGTGAAACTAGCATACAGTCAAATTATCCTTGTTCGCTTCAGATCCGACATTGAAGCTCATATAATTTCAGTATGAACTTTGGGTGTAGGTACTACTTAATTTACATTATATGGTATAGATACAGGAGTTGGATTGAATTGAGAATGTTAAATGTTTTTTCTATTTGTTATATATTTACTGTTTGGTCATTATACAGAATTATAAAAACTGGATAAAGTACAAAAATAATGCTCAAAGAAAGTGATATTAGATAGAAAATGGCAGGTTAAAAATTTATAATAAAAAAAAATTAACTTTGTATATGCATGAACATGATCCCACATGTCATGTTTGTTTTCTTGATACAGCTACTGTAAACCTCAAATACAATGTCTTTATCTATCGTATCATATGGTGGTGCTCTAACACTACCTTTCTTGATACAGCTACTGTAAACCTCAAATACAATGTCTTTATCTGTTAGAGCACCACCATATGATACGATAGATAAAGACATTGTATTTGAGGTTTACAGTAGCTGTATCAAGAAGTTAGAGCACCACCATATGATACGATACTTTACGATGTAATACAAGACTTAAATATTTTTATTACCTTGCATTACATAACTGTGACCTATAGTTAATTCTGTATTTTTTTACCAAGAATAACTGTATTTCTTCTATTTGCAATTTTGAATTCTTACAGTATGTTTTACTGCTTGCTGTTGTTAATTTTCTTGACCAGTTCATTACTTCTTATGTTATACCTTCATGTACTTATCCAACCTTAGGGCTAAAATAGAAGAACGCCAGTTTCTGGTATTGGAGATTTCAGAGAGATGGTGTGGTAGCATTCTTTCTCTAAATAAGCATATTTTCCTAAATATTGTAAGTCATAGTATCCATTGCACATGTAAACAGTTCAACAAACAGCTATGTAACTACTTTATTGTCCTCATATTCAAGTATAGTTTAACTGTTTCTGTAAGTATGAAATACTTTCTTTTGAAACTATTGGACTTGGTTCCAAAACAATCATTGCATATTGGGTAAATGTCACTAGTAGTATGTCCTGACATTACTGTATTACTACCTGCATAGTGGCATCAGACTGCAGGAAAGAAGGATGCAGAACATAGTATAGTAAGGATGTGGCTTTCCTGTACTTCAGGAATACAACCTTGGAGACTGAAGCTACAAGTTTAGTTTAATTCTTCTAGTGCTGAAACGAGCGGTGGGAGTTCATGTTTCAGTTTTTTAGGACTGTGAAGAAACCTTAGTTTTCCACATTTTAAACATTGGACTGTGTTTTGGACTCTGCAAGCTCTTTGTGCATTTGGAGTAAAAACAGGTTATGACTTGTGTATTTGGTCTTTCTTATGGTCTGTGCCATATACTTTATTGAAAGAAGGTATGGAGTGAAATCCATCATCTCCTGCTTCCGAGTCTGACAGAAAATGAAATTATTTAAATTTCTTGCAATGTTGTTTGGAGCTGTGTGATATTCACAGACTTTATCTCTTCATTTCTGCACACTGAAGGTATAGTGTCTGTCACAAACATACTATTCAATTTGGAGCAAATAACTTAACATATCTGTAATTTCATCTTCAGTTGCATTGTGAAAAATATTAAATTTCTCATCCTGCACTCTAAATTCTGCACAGTGGATGAAATCAACGAAACTAGCTGTTGTAAACTGTAATCTATGCGTTTTGGAGTTTTCTTTGTAACTGGCCTAACTTCCTTCTTGCTGTTACATTTCTTCAGTAATTTCTCAAATATATCATCCAATTCCTCACTTTTTCTCCTAAGACCAAGATTCAGTACTGATATTATATGCTCTTCTGGATTTTTCCAAGAATGTCCTGGTGAGGTGTGAATTTAAGTAAGAGCATCTAGGTTCCTCTTTATGATATTAAGAATGGCTGCACCCATTGATGCCAACTTGTTTTTGCTGGTGGGTGCTTTAAATGTAGATAGGTAGGGATCATATTACGTTATTATTAATTGAAGTATTGTTATATTATAATGTATTAAATTATAATAAATATACTCACCTACAACTACTATTCACTGATGTCCCAACTTAAAGACATTGTATCTCTTTGGATAATACTGTTAAAAAATGTCACTTACATCTAGTTCCGTGGTAAGGTCTTGATGGACATTAAGGATAGTAACATGGTTCAGTTTTGCCTATCCAATTGGTGACTGGAAATGTGTGTTAAGTCTTCTTATGCTGGAGAATGAGTGGTTCATAATGCAGAATGATATGTTACAATAAAAAGGATTCTGTTAAATCTGCAGCAGCATATTTCCCAAATGTTCATCAACAGAACTATCTGCTGTTTCATCAATTATAAGTGCTTAGTAAACACTATTCTGCACAAAACTGCACAGCTTTTGCAGTACATCATTTGACACCAGAGTGAGTACTTCATTAATAATTTCAAGAGACATCAATTTCTAAGATGTTCACTGCAACAATTTTTGAAGTTCAGGTACATATTCAGTGAGCACATGCAGCTACAGAATGGAATTCTAATTTCCAAAACATACTTGCTTCTCTCCACTGACAGCTATTACGGCCAGGGTTTCATCCTTTGCTCATCTAAGCATTGGTCTGATTTTTTCTCACTTGCTCCAGTTTTTATACCCCACTTAATTGCCCTTGGTGATATTTGTCTCATGATACTCTCCACCTACATCAATGCACTTTCTATCCTGGTACTGTATATAAACACCTCATTCAGATAATGTTATCACTTTTTTTCGACAGAGCATTACTGATGGGTTTCCCAATGCTACAGTCATTTGGAGATACTTTGAATGTTCTCCATGTTACCTAGTTAACTTTTGTAAAAAATAAATAAATAAATACAATTTTTTTTTTCCAATTGGCAAGAATGTTTATGGTATGAATATGTAAACAACAAGGCTTGCCGAGTTTAGAAAATGTATGTCCTATGATTTGGTTTCATAACATACCCT